GGGGGGGTGTAATAGTAATCTATAGGATTCATCCTCTCAGGAACAGGAATAAGATATTCTCATATTCTCATAAGATGCATTGAACCGGTTCATTGTTAAGGTTAATTTTACTGAGTTGTACAGAAGCAAACATACAACATATATAAAAAAAAACTTGTATTCCTTCACATGCGAAAACTGGAACCTTCTTCTTCTCTGCTTCGTCTCTGTGCCTCCCCTACCTCCCTCCTTCTCCCCCTCCCTTCTCACCTCATTAAAGCAGATTGTTGCTGTCGGAGGATTACAGTATAGACTCTGTGTTTTCCTCTCCGCCGTCTCTCGTCTTCCTCCGACGACTCTATTATTTGAGGATCCGTTTGAGGGCCATGGGCCTGCTGAACATCCTCTCGTCCATCAAAGACCGAGCCGAGAAATTCCTAAATGAGAAGAACGTGGTGGCTGATTTTCTGGGGAAGTTGGAGGAGAAAACGGGGATAAGGAAGAAGATCATTGCAGTGGGTACGTGATGTCTGGTGGTCTGTTTCTGTTCACTCTGATCGGTCCATCATGAATACTTTACTGACGATTCTACTGTTCTGTTTATATTTAGTAAACAGAACCTTATACCTTCCTGTTGCATGTTAGTGGATAACTGAAGAGGATTTAGGTAATCCTCTTGTGAACATGAGGCTAAAGTGAACAGCTGCTCTCTGTTAACATGAACCTGTAAATGTTCAAGTTTTCTGGGTCAACATTTTTGCTCTTATCAATATTTTATACTAACGATGGACCAAATGACTGCATGTGATGTGCAAAGAGTTGTTTGTGATTATCTCCAACTCTGCAGGTTTGTGGAGCTTTTTGGCCTCTTTTAGCTCCAATAATTTTGGTTTTGCAGCGCATTTTTGGGGTCAAATGTGGGAGGAGACACCCACATGGTATCCAGCCCAAGCCAAAGAAATACCAATACAATGGATGTCTATGTGTTGTCTATATCCAGTTTGGGCTGCCATTTGTAAATGCACATCTTTATTTGCTTCTGTTTTTGGCACATCAGCTGATTTTGAGGTAACATCTGATCAAATGTTTTTTTTTTTAAAGGTCTTTGTGTTTTGACAGAAACAGACATGGAAAATTATTTTTGGTCATTCCAATAGGAGATTCATTAGTATAAAACAAAATATAGATTTAAGCTTTTGATAATCAAAATATGAGGGAAAAACACTGCTGGAAGATAATGTGGCAGCATTCAGATTAAATAAACCATGATCACAGACCTGGTCCAAAATGTAGAAATAGTGATATTTTTAAGTATTTGCTCTGTTGTTTCGTTTCAGGCCTAGACTTAGTTAAAGTAGCTTCTTTAAATCAACTTTGTCTCATAAAAATGATGTTGATTTACTCAATTGGGAATATAAAACAATGAAAAACAACAACGAAAGCTCTTAATGAGATTGTATTCATGATTCATGGTATTCTAAATTATAATGTCAAAATTTCTCTCCCGGACATCTTGCCCAGATAGCTTAATTGATTCAATCACTGTTTGTGACCCCTGTAAAACCCCCAACTTTGGGGAATTCAAATCAACTCAAATCCAGGAAAGGTTTGAGATTTTTTTTCATTCAAAGGTTCTATGTGTAACCTTTTACACATATTCATTTTCATTTTTATTGCAAATGCAATGTAATCCCAACAGAAGGTAAAGTAACTTAAAAAGTTTAGACTTTCTCGGTTGCATATAAAATGTAAAGGACTTTTTTCTCTGAAAATCCAATGGATGTGGCATAATGCGAGTGCCTTTCTTCAGCTCCTCTGCAGTTTGTAACACTGGCTGACGTTTGCTTAGAAATGTCATTAATAACAAGAGTTTTTCTGAATGTTACACAGAGAACCATTAAACATCAGAAGTTTGTTTCAGCATTAGCATCATGTTCAGATCATGTTAAAATATTCTCATGGTTAAAGAAGCGTGTTAATGACGCTGATGCGGTAATAAATGATTACTCTTTATTCAGAGCAAACAGAAGCTGGAGGTGAGGTGGCATTGCTGTATGTATAAAATCCAGTTTTTCTGTCATTGTTACATGCTGTTTCTGTGCCAAATTCATTTGAGTTTATTGCTCTTGAAGTAGTTTTTAGAACCTAAAAAACCCCTCTGAACTCAACACTGATGGATTTAATCCAATACGAGTAATACATTTATTTCTGCTGGTGTATCTAAAAAATAACTCATATTATCAGTCTTTCTATTTCCTCTGGTATAGTTCCCAAAGTTTGGAAACTGGCTCATTTTATAGCCTAAAAGAGGTGACAAGAGGAATCTTAACAACTATAGACCTACAGTATATCCAAGCTGCCTTGCAAAGGTCCTGGAATCTCTAGTAAATGACCATTTGAAGGTATATCTGTCCGGCGCTTCCACTGTGAGTCCATTTCAGTTTGGTTTTAGAGCGGGGCACAGTACTGTAGCTGCTGTTACTTTGTATGTAATGACATTGCATCAGCTTTAGATTTTAAAAAAAAGCACTGCAGTATTTTTTTGTTGAGACAAGCCTGTTCTTGCAGAGGCTACATAATATTGGATTTGATGTTTATGCATGCAGTCCGTTCAGGAATCAGGGAGACAACAATCTCTTAATTTGGGAAGCTATACCGTCCTGAGTTTTTATCAGTGACCAAAGTCGTCCCTCAGGGTTCAGTTCCTTTTCACTACATTATATCATAAGATAGTTGTGATATTTTGACATTTTTTTTGCGCAAATTGAAGTATGAAAGTGAATGGAAAAACACTTATAGTAATAGATACAGAGTAGTCACTCTTCCCGCAGCAAACTATCTTGCAATGGCATTTGCCAGATAATACTTTCATTTTGTTGTATGTTAGTTGGTTAATGGTAGCTCATGAAGCTAACGCTAAGGCAAAAGCATTTGTGTTAACGAGGCAAGAGATTTAGAAAAGACAGAAATGCATTTAGAAAATATATTGCCTAACAGAAAAATTCCACTAAATATAATAGAAGATAAAACATAAGCTAAAATCGAATAAGATAAATCAAATAGTAGAATGCAAATGACAGTGTAGCTACATTGTAGTGTGAGATTTGAATAAAAAGTCCCAAATTGAATTTAATAAAATGCAGGGGCAAATTAAGTTGTAAGCCCTGATTTAATGGAGCTGAGAGTTTGTTTCAGATGTGTGGAACATAAAAACGTTATTACTACACCCTATATTATCTAAAAGTGACAAGCTTGCTTAAAGTATTGATCCTGCTCTTGATGTAATGGGGACAGTTAGGTGCAGGAGGTTGTGGTGGCCCATTGTTGCCGTGATGCTCTGTATCAAACTGTGCAGATGTTATGAATAAATAATATGATAACCAAACAATAAAAATGGAGCTCCTTGCATAAAGTATTCAGCAGAGAACATTTACTGAGCGGGGAACAGCAGTCTATTCATACCACACTGATGCTCATACAGTGGATCAGTAACACACTGGCATGATGTCACTGTAGTGCCTGGTGCACAGTGTCCCCCACTCTCTCTGCGTCCTCCTGCAGTATCATTATAAGAGATTATCCACAGAGATAGAGAGCCGAGCAGACCGGCCTCCATGTGCGAACCGCCACATAAGCTGATCAGAGGTAGGACACTTTTCACACGACTTCCTGTCTGTCTGCTGCGCTCACTGAGACGGTCAGGTGGTATCTGAATATCTGCAGAGTTAGTCGGAGAATCCTTGTGGTATTTAAAAGTCGGTCAGTCACTTCCTTCCTTTTTAAAGGAAACACTCAATGTCTGTTTGCTACTCTGTAGACCTCCCAGTTCAGTTTCGTCAGAGAATTAAAGGAGCTTTTGTGTTTAATTCTGCACAGATTCAATACATTTCTGATTCATTTTAACATCCATGCTTGATGCTGTGATGACCCACCAAAGCCGAGCATCCGCTTAGGCCAGATTTTAGCCCCAAAGTGGTCACCCACAAAACCCTTTCGAAACTGTATTTCTTAAAAAAAAAAAAAAAAAAAAGTTCAATTTTGATGTTATTTTTTTTGTCTTTATTGGACAGTTTGACAGTGAAGAGGTAGCCAGGAAATGGGGGGAGAGAGGGGAGAGACTGGAGTCAGCCATTGGAAGTTGATAAAGGTCAATTAATTGGATGTAAATACATTAGTCTTTTGTCTGTATATTTGAACAAATAAATATGTAATTAAGTGTATGTATACAGATATGTAGGGTAATGCATACGTGTGCACAAATGTATGTGTATATTCAATGTTTATATATTCATGTGTTGATATGTCTATGTGTGTATTTGTATGTATATGTATGTTAAAGCTAGAGTAGGTAATCTTGAGAAACAAGCAAGCCTTATTATAATAAATAATCCAACTGGAAAACCCAGCCGAGTGATGCCAACTCTTTTCCAATGAAAGTAGCTAGCAGGGCTAACTCAAACATTGCTAAATGTAGCGAGTAAGTCGCCAAGTCGACAACACTGACCCGCTCCTTGTGTCTCCTGTGTGTCTCGTCCAGGTGCCATATCACTGACCGGACTCTACCTGGTGTATGGATATGGCGCCGCCCTCCTCTGCAACCTGATTGGTTTTGCCTATCCAGCATATTATTCGTGAGTATTTTTTTTCTATTAAGTTACAGATCTGCTTGTTGTGTTTCCTTCACTCCCAGAGACATGAACCAATCCTGAAACTCTCCTTGTTTAACCTGAGACAGGAGGCTGAAAAACACTTTAACAGAGGAATCAATTACGAGTCCCAGAAAGCATTGCAGTAAGAAACATCCCATCAGAGAGCTGCACACTCTGTTGGGGAAAATGCAGACTCGAGAATCAGTTCATGTTGATGGAATCATTGCGATTTGTGGATTCACTCACAAAGAGAATTTGTTTGGTTCAACTTTTGTGCATCCAATCACAAATTACTTGACACTCTTGACCTTGCTGATCTTTAAACTTTCTGTTTATGCGATTCAGAGCATTAACATTAAAGCAAGCGACTGCTTGCTGTGTAAAGATATAGTGGAGTAATGTCTACCTGAGAAGAGAATGAAGTCAGTTGGTACGTCACTGCTGATTTTACAATAAACAAAACCAACTACAACTAACATGCAAATGAATTTCCTCGTGCTACTTTCTGGTCTGACTGTGCACTCATTTCCACTGCATGGTTCAGCTCAACCCGACTCTACTCAACCCACTTTTGGTACCAGGTGCTGTTGTCAATTTAGTTTTCCACTGCAGATAGGACCCCTCAACGAAGCTCACCGGCATAATGATGCCGCATTAAAGTGCCTTGAACTTCTCTTAACGTAGCACAACGCAACCCAACTGAGCAACTTCGGCGGTTGACCACGGCATTGTTTTGCAGGCTGAGTTGAGGTCGTGAGGAGGAGGTGAATAAAGAGATGTGATCACCATTGATGGTAGCGTGGCTATTTAAAAATGGCCAATCAGTGGTTTGCAGTGTTTTAGAAGCTCACTGAACCTTGATCGAGGTGGTACCACAAAATCTCCCAGGTACCATCCACAATTTTTGCCAATGGAAAACCAAAAAAGGAAAGTCCCAAGAGATTCAAGTTGAGTCGCGCTCTACCATCCGGTGTAAAAGTGGAATTAGCGATTGAGCGTTTTTCAGAAAATCAATTTAAAAACAAAAAAAACTTGACCTGAAACTTTTTTGGACTCAGTCTTGGACTGCACCACTGTAGACCTGATTAAAAACGTCTTTCTTTCCATGTTGGAATTTTATCTTACTTTTCCGATCAAGACAATAGATGAGACAGATGCTCAAACACAGGACTTTTGTCCAGGAGACAAGTGGTTTTGTCCCGTGCGAAACTAAAAGTAAACGTTGCCATTTTGTCACGTGAGTCTTTTCGTGAGTTGTTCGTGTTAGTGTCAAGTAACACACGTGAGTTGCTCGTCACTCGCCAGTCACGTGAGTGGTTAGTTTTTCAGTATAACGTGAGTCATTTGTAAGTCAAATTAACATCAATTATTTTTTCTTAAACTTAACAAAGTGGTTTTGTTGCCTGTACCGGATACCTTTCTATTCCCCTGATTAAAAGGAATCTAATACCTGTTTTAGACATGTGGGCTTTTCCATTCTCCATTTATCTGTCAAAACGCATGGAGCTCTTTTGTCATATATGAATATTGATCAACGTTTGATGTGTTTATCACTATTTCAATGTTATTTGCTACATGGCTATATGGAAATAAATCGTCTTTTAAAGTAAAACGGTTAACATATAAACAGTAAACACGGAGTATATCTTTATAAATTGTATCCAAAATATTGCATTTCAGTGTATTTTTTATCAAATTTACAGTTACAGTTGTAATTGAGTAGGAGAAGACATTCAGTTGCATCATTATCTGTGGGATCTTGGTTATATACATTTTAGATTTCTATACTAGGCGAGAATGAAACTCTTCCTTTATTGCATTTTCTCCAGAATGATATTTTAGTTTACTTACGATTTGTATTTGTTTTGTTTACTTATCAAAGGATATCGGATATAAGCTTTATAATTGAGGAGCTATTCCTGTTAGTTTTTGGGTATGTTATTTTTCTGAAGGATAGGGCAAGCACATAAAGAGACATATGATACGCTTATAAATTAAAATTGTTGCTGAATCTTCTTTTCTTATTCTTTCGACACCACAAATATTATGAAGACCCTTCAGATGTATCTTTTGACCCTTGAGAATGATCTTAATAGTTCTTCCACCCCTGTTTGTGGCGTTGAACTGGAAGCCTTCACCAAAGCTCTACTGTATTAGTACAATAATTCTGAAGGCCTTTTTTAGAGATAAATGTATTTTTCAGCTCACGTGAAACATTCTGACAGGCTGTTTCCTATCGTATCTGCAGAATCAAAGCCATCGAAAGTACAAGCAAAGAAGACGACACAAAATGGCTGACGTACTGGGTGGTCTATGGTGTCTTCAGCCTGGGCGAGTTCTTCTCCGATATTTTCCTCTACTGGTTCCCTTTCTACTATGCTTTTAAGGTGGGAAAAAAACTGTGAAACCCATGATTATCGGCAAATTATTTCAACCGGTTATCTTCTAAACAGAACTCGGTGAACAGTTAGAATCGCTTTTCAAAATCAAAGATGATGTAGAAGTCTGGAACCAGGCTATGATTAATGGGGTCAAGGTGCACATGAAGAAGTATTTGTCTAGTAAACCAAGTCCTCTGTGGTTCCAGTGTCTCTTCTTGTTGTGGTGCATGGCCCCTATTTCGTGGAACGGCTCCCAGATGATCTACAACAGAGTGGTGCGGCCCATCTTCCTCCGCCACGAGGCCACGGTGGACAACTTGGTGAGCGACCTCAGCGGCAGGGCCATGACTGCTGCTGAGAACCTCACCAGGGAAGGTGCAGACCAGTACATTGTGGTTACACACCAATATTAAACATTTTAAAAGGTATCAGATTGAATGTTCCTTCTTTCCTTCTCTTCAGTCCTGTCCACGCTGATGAGGAATAAAGTTTTGGAGTCTCTGGGGCCGTCGGCCGCTCAGCTTGAAACCAAAAGTTTACCAGCTGCATCAACAGCTAATGTAGCTCCTTCAGAGTCGAGCGAAGAACAACCAGTACGTAAACCATAGCTGCTTCCCCCGCCTCCTGACAGTTAGTCCACCTTAAAGGCCTCAGTATGCTTTCAAATGAACTGAACTTTAGACAGAGCCAGGCTTGCTGTTTCCCTTCTTTTTCAGCCTTTATGCTAAGCTAACCATGCCCTCTGACTCAGTATCACCAGCGTACCACTTCATCACTTTAACTATGACCTTTGACATTTCAATCCCTCTGTCCTCATAGAGCATGTAGATACACAGCATCGTGCTGAGTTAAGGTGTGTTCTAAGCTAGCATTTCTGTGTTTTGATTTGGTTTTTTTAAGTCATTTTCATGTTGGTTTGGCCGAGATGTTGAATGTTTTTTACGTCGAACACACGATTCGCATCTCAAAAACTTCAAACAAGATTGTCATGAGATGTCTTGATCAAGTTCCTAATCCCTAGGGTGAACATGTAAGGACCTGGTGACCCAAAGCTAGCTCCCTTGCTAACTGTCTAATAACAAGCTGGCTATAGAGCTATAGGTTGCAAACAGGCCAGGTGTTTTGTCCAACACTTTCATATTGTGGCTGTAGTAGCTACATCTGGGGGACATTATAGCAGAACTTGACACTGTTAGTATAAATGCAGTTTTATTGGTTATTGCAGTTTGAGTTTGTAGTTAAATCTGTATATATCTTCAGTGTCCTGATGGAAGAAAATGCTGGATTTTACACAATATAAAACTGTTTGTACAATGAGATTAGAGATGAGGACTAAACATGCTTACCCAACTGTCCTGTTACTTGTTCCAGCCTTTCCTGGGTTAACCAGTATGGTAAGTCTACTGGTTTGCTGTTAGAGGTGAATGTGGTGTGGTGGTTGATAGAGAATGAGCACCTTAGTAACCGTCATAGAGCATCAGTGCTGTGGTTGCTTTAAAGCTGAAGCAGCTTTTGCCTACGGTCGTTCTGTTTGACTGAAGCAGCAGACGGAGCAGACAGGATACTCCTTGAAGACCTTCAAGGAGGTCTTCAAGGAGACCTGAATGAGCCTGAAGGCCTCTAACACCCCCCCCCCCCCCAACCTGCTGCTCTTAAGTACACTAGCAGCATAAGCGCTGAGAGACAGCAGCTGAGAGACTGACTGATATTTTTACAAATCTGCTTATTGGTTTATAAAATATCACAAAGAACAAAAGCAACTAAACGACCACTACCGACTCCAACATGGAGATGGACAAAAAACATTTGAAAGATTGTAACCTGGAAAAGAATCATTATCTGCAGGGTTTTTAGCAGATTATTAAAATTTTTTTTTTTTTTTTAATGTATTAAAATAGAAACAAACCAACAAATGGCATTAGAGGTGATTTTCCTACTTTTTTAGCAATATGATTTTATAATTTTCTAAAATGTCTTTCATTTTATAAATCGAAAGAGGCTATACGTCAAATGGGAATCGTTTAATTGTAATATTATTGTGCAGTACTAAATGGGCATACAGTTTTCACAGTGCTTTAAGATCATCATTTTAATCTCTGAAACATTACAGACTGAGAGTTGCCAGGATCCTTTTAGATGCAATTTGTTATTATAATGCCAGTTTTTAATATAATGATTAGAATAATGAATAGATTATTTTAGGTATTCCAGTAATGAATTTGTTATCAGTAGATATAGTGAATAGGTCATTGACGTATTCTCATAATGAAGAAACTGATTGACGGTGTGTTATTGGTTCTTGTAGTTTTGGGCATTTGATGAAAATAAGTTTGTTGGCTATTGTTAACAGAATAGAAATGTCTCTAGTAGTAGCAGAAATGTTTTCTTTAATCTGAAGGTTTTTAATTGTTGGTTGTGTGTCTGTTCTATGTCTGCACGGCAGGCTGAGCTCAGTGTAGACTGATGGTAAGTCATAGATGGAGACAAACAAAAAAAAAACACAACTACTCATGCTTGTTTTTTCAAGATCGCATGAAAGAAAGAGATAGAAGAGAAATATTTGGCTGTAATTTGTTGTTTATAATTTGTGTGATTTGTGATCTTGACATAACAAATGTGTGTTTTTCACAACACAATTTATCTTAAGATCACAGAATACAGTCTTTGGAATCATGAGGAAACAAGCTTGTAGAAATACATTTTAGTATTAGTCTTACACTTAGTGTACTGTCATCTTGGACCTGATGGGGGTTCCAGGCATGGGCACGCCCCCCACCTGTACTCATTGGGAGATAGCTTTCGATAAAAACATAAAGTAGGGTGGTACTCTTACTGCCCCCCATTCAAAGCAGTCTAGAACTAGGCCTGCTTGTACTATAGCTACCACCACCCTGAAGTTCCCACTGCTAATCAAATAATCAGATTGGATGTCTCAGCAGAAAGATTTCTGGTTAAATGTTTGTCATAGCCAACAGGTACAGTGTATTGATAAGTTCTCTGTATTGTGACGGATACAGAGAATACAACTTAATTTGAGTGGGAGATTTGTCTCAGGATTATGACTGAATTAATAAATGTATTATTGCAGGATTCAGAATATGATATAGTGATGTCTTAATCGGTGATTCAAATTCAACCAAAATTTAAAATGCTAAATAAAATGCCTCTTGGTTAAGTTTTAATTACACAGGTCTTTAATTTTCCAATCATTTCTAAAGGAGTTTCTTGAAAGAACTGCACAATTTGGTAAAATGTATAAGAAAAATCTGAAAAATTCCCAAATAAAACGGCACTAAATATGCATTGGATAAAACTCACTATTCTGCATTTTCAGTTGACCTGCTTGGTTACACTGATAATTAATAGGAATTAATGCTTTGGAGGTGTATTAAGTAAACACAATCTCCATTTTACTGATAATTAGTGTTTCTTCCAGGAGACTTCCTTGGGAAATTATAAGAAATGTTATCAGGAAATTATTATGAAATCATGAACCCATTAAATAATGCAGTACCCTTTGTTTTTTTTTAAACTTATTTCAGCAGCAGCTTTACCGTTCTTTTTCTTTTTTTTCAGCCCTTCAGATAGCAGCAAAAAAAGAGGAGGACCCTCAGTGAAGAAGAGCAGCTGCATCCTCACAGATCCCACTGATAAAGAATATCACATGTCAAAGAGACTGATCAAATGTTATATTTATATACAAGTCTGTAACATCAAAAACTCAGGCCGACTCTGCAAAATGACTGATTTTAAGAACGTAGTTTCTTATTGCTGTTTTCATTTTATTTATTTGTATTTATTGATGAATAATGCAAAGCACCTGAAACTGGCTCATAACTCTCGAACTCACTAGCTCACGTTTAGCAGGCTGCAGATTCTCTACCAGGTGGAGCTGTGGCATCCATGTGAGAGCAGTTCTTCACCTGCCAACCTGCAATACCTATAACGTAACAGCAGTTTAGACCTGCAGGTGTGGACACATCAACGGTGCCTCCTACAGGCAAAGAAAATAACAGCTGCAAAGATTTTAACACCTGCAGACAGTAGTGGTTCAGCTTACTTTTTTTTCTCCTTTCCATGTTTTTTATTTGTGTGTTTTTTTAGGTTTTATATTTAACACCATTTGAAACTGTTTCCTTTTATGGAAAGATGGTGCATTTCAACATCTGAAGGAACTGCAGCTCTGCAATCGGACATTTTCCTCTGGGCCTGTCTTCGGGTGCTTCGCATCAGTAACAATGTGTGTCCTTATATAGTTTTCAACAGTGTTTCTATTTATTTTTGTTTTGTTTATACACATCAATGCGATTCTGACCATGATATGAAAATTACGTTATGATAAAAATAAACAATGCTAGTCAGCATAAAGCTAAATGTTTGCCCTCTCTTTCGCATGACGTACTGCAAAACAAGACATCTTAGACACAGTGGTTCTTTGACCTAAATATTCACTGTTACAAATTAGCAGGAAAAAGTACATCTGTGGCTGCTGAGAATGCCCTTAGTTTTGCAGGCATTATATGGGCCATTCTACCGAATTCGTTCAAAGTGCTGTCCCCCCAACAAGAAAAACTATTTAACAAAATAATTAAGTATTCAGACATAGATATTTACTAAGAATGTGTTATGGTCTATTTAAACCCAAGGCATTAAATTAGTGATAAGCTAAATATATACAAAATCATCATTTATAGGGTACTTTCTATTGGGAAGTAGCTGTCCCCAACCCTGACATCTAAATTTCAATTTCTGTAAATAACACTTAAAACAATTTTTAGATTTTGTTCAATGGTGTAATTTCAAAGATCTTTATGATTAAATTTAAACAGAAGTTGTAAGATTTAGATTTATTTTGGGTTTAATTTTAAAATTAAAAAACTATACCCAAAAAAATCATGTCCCCAGTTTTCATGTCACTACCGAAACACAAGAGTTTTAGTCCATTGGCTGAGCCTGGTTTTTAGCCACACCCCTGCATTTTTGACCAGACAGTGACACTGCATCCCTGTCCCTCATGCCTGAATGGTAAGTAGCTAAATCCCATACTTTTGATATAAATGTGTTCCAAAGTCTGAAAATCGGCGTGTAACCTTAAGAATTGTCACTACCGAACACATATTCTCTTCAATTAAGTAAACTTTTTGGGGTTTAATGCAAAGTATTATGTTTTTATGTGTGTACACCTCTTCAAAGACGCGTATGCTAGCCATCCATTTGCTGGCATTCTTTAGTTATGCTCAAAGTTAGCTAGAATTGTCACTACCGAAACATATGGTAAAGTCTCTCTTTCCATTCATTCTCACTTGGCCATCTTCCATTCTCATATTCCCATTCCCTTTGAATCAAACTTTATTTCATAGTCTTATAAGATTCCAATACAAGCAATAATTATCATATCTTGCCCAATGTCCTTTTATTTTACCCGTTATCTGTCTGCAGGTGCCCTTGAGGTCAAAGTTATGCACAACATTGGGCAAAACCGCTTTTATTGACCGCGACTAGAGGACAAGATCTGGTACACAGTGGACAAGGTCGTCACCTTAATCCCTTCACCAGAAAACGTCACACAGAGGCATGTCCAGATCAGCCCAAGAGTGTTCACCGCAGTATGTGAAAAACTAAATTTGTGAATGGATTTGTGATGGTGTCTGACACTGAACCCCCCTAAACATACAGTACAACATAATATCAGTTATTTGTCAATGTTTTCTTGTTCTCTTTTACTGAACCCACTTGGGTGATTTTCCATTGATAAGTAATGTTTGTACTTTAAATGGTTCTGGATGAACAATTGTTATGTCTTCAAAAATCAAATTATTCTATTGACCACAAAACATTTGTTTGTAATATTCCCAACCTAAGGCATGTTATGAGTTAAGATTAAGCAATAAGGTTGAGGAAATATGATACAACCTTGCAAACTAAATACTGTGGTCACAACCGAAACAGTGCAGTCATTGCCGAAACACTGGATGTTTTGTAAAAAATAAAGTATATTGAGTTATCAACTAAAATGTTATGATACTGATTGGTTTAATGTATGTTCAATTGTATCAATCATGAACTCTGGAATCAATATGATCAGTATTATGCATTTTACAAAGAAATATTGCATTTACATTTTGATGAATTGTATAAATTGAACTTAGAAATTTGGTACAAATCTCATTTTTATTGATTTAATTGTGAAAACCTTCAAGAAATATTTGTAAAAATACTCTTCAGAGAAGGGAAGGAAACACAATCTTAACAGGTTAGTAATAATACCTTTTTACTATAGTGTATTACTATGTTTTGGTAGTGACAATTTTTGGGAGAGGAAAAACATTCCAACACAGTCTGAAAATACAATATAAAAATTGACAGTTCTTTTACTAGATATGTGTACTTTAGATATGGTACAATATATATACGGACAAAGTTTTGGGAATAAAACATACAACATTTTAAAATATTTCCAACCTGACTTTGAACCAATTCGGTAGAATGGCCCATATACAGTCTACTATACTGTTATTTATAGCCTACTGCTAACAGCAAAGTTGTCAAGGATTTTGTTGATGCTTCTTAGTGTCATAACAGCCTCTTAAGGCTGTGAGAATGGATTTGAAGTCCTTTCTGTTATTTAATTGTCTTGTAGCCTACTTAGTGTTTTATGACAGTTTGATTCATGGCCATAAAAACTAAGTAATTTATATATGCTATATTTTCAAATGCATGCCGTATACGTGACTTATACGTTCTGGATACTAGTGAAACAACATCAAATACTTATAGTATAGTAAATGATCAGTAATAGCTTTTGACCAAACACGAATCCACCATCTTATGACGTGTTGTGAGGGCGTGGCCTATGTAGGCACTGTCAACGTACTGACGTGGCAGGTAGCACGTTGTCGTGCTGACATGCAGTACGTCCATCCAGCAGACTTGCATGGAACGTGTCCTCAAAACAATTTTTGCACTTTCAGCAGCGTTTACCGATTAACCGTCTTTTAGTCCGGTGTAAGTTGCCGGGACAGTCTAGATACGTGCTGGGACTCGCGCGCTGTCTTTCAGTAGGACGACTAAACACCGGTAAGCACCGACAATCTGCTAACGTTATCCTTCAGGCTTCTTCAAACAAAATGCTTATGGAAATTAAACTCGAACTGCTTGGTGACAAACACCACACTTTCTTGTATGTTATCCCAACATGTCTCGTGAATCTTACGGTCCTTTAGCACAACTCGAGCATTTTAACATTTCACTGGTCTGCAATTAATTGGCTACGATACGCCCAGATCCATTTAGCGTTAGCTAAGCTAACGTTAGCATCCTTGTCCTCGGCGTGTTGACGTCAGGGTAACACTAAAGCACTAAACCACAGTTTTAAATGTTGACCTTTATTGAAGTAATACTTAAAGGGTGATTCGTGTTGTTCTGAATTGAAGAGTAACACAAAGTTGTACTTTAATCCACTCTCTACGAAATGTAACTTTGTATGTAACGCGACACCGACACACAATTTAATCTTCTTAAATACATGTACATGGGGGACGCTTACATCTGTAGGTCTGTGGGCTGAATTAGTAATAAACCGCGGATAGCCTAACATTACATGGTACATTTTCTGCATCTGTCTTTTGTCAATAAAAAGTCTTGACCCAAACAGAAGGTTGAGCCTGCTCTGCAGCAGGATGAATATTGGTTCTAAAAACAAGAAGAGGGTGGTTCTGCCCAGTCGTCCTGACCCCCCTACTGTGGACCAGATCCTGGAGGACATCGACAGAGCCACTCCCAATGACCCTGTCTTCAGCATCCTGGAGAAGACTGGACAAGGTGAGTCCACTCAGACCTCCAGAGTCGGACAACACTTATTATATACAGTCTGTGGACAACACTCCTGTCAGGCACAATGAGTATGATTTAACATTATCTAAAAAAAACAATGTATGGAGTGGACCCTTTCAGTCACCACTTATGACCCCCTGATAGAGTGTTGCAGTGTCTATATCGTCAGAGATGCTGCCCTCTGCCTGTATTTTCTCTCTTCTTTTTACTTTGCTGTGTATGGGGCGTTTCTCTGCCACTTGCTCTGCGTCTGCCTTCAGGGTGCATCCCAAGGGGTTTTATTGTTTCCCGATTTTGTGCTTCCCCGCTCCTCCGGCTTGCCTGAATGCAGGCTCCATCCAATTCAACCGCTATAATCCTGACATAATGTTTTCAAGTGCAAACAGCTGCAGGCATCAAATTATTATGTCCACAACAACATTCTCTTTAATTCAGCACTAACTAACTTTATTTCATGTTGTCATATAGACGGGGCTGTTTGTGTGCATATAATATATATCAGTCAGTCAAATATAATATGTTACTGTATGGTACTTTTTGTACAAACATTTGTAGTGCTTCACACAACAACATATCTAAAGTATATATTAGATATAGCCTATGTGTGCATTAAATACAAAATGTACGACACCCGGTCATTCTTGTTGCATTATGCCATGTTGTGAATTGAATTAATTGTAAATATAAAACTTGTGATGAATGTTGTTATGCTCATCTGACTGAGGTCATAAAACACAGCACTATAACTAATCAATGAAAAGCTGATCAGCTGTGCCGTACCTCATATTTAATTGACGGTGCTTTAATGATGGTCCGAGGAGAGGATGTCTCATTTGTTAAATACCTGTTGCCTTGACTCCTCTAGTCTCTTCCTTGCCGCCTCTTCATAATTTCCCGTGTTCCAGCTAGACTGAAGATCTCTAAAATTGCTGGCTGGTGTTGTTGAACCAGGGAGAAGGGGGCCACCTTTGAATGCTGTTTACAAACCACAACTGTCAAATCCTACTTATTCTGCCTTTAACTACAGGAGAACCAGTCGGTAGACAACGGGAGAGCCAGGTCAGATCAGTACACTCGTGGAGAACAGTTCTCCTGTTGCTCACTCTCCGGTTCTCCTGTAGTTTACAAAATGTTCTTTCTCAATCTACTGACTGGTTCTCCCGTTCCCTCATCAGATTCGCACCGGCCCTCAGACAGCGACGTGGACTTGCGATTCCAGCAGTGTCAACAGTACCTGGAGCTGAATGAGCGGCTGCAGGAGTCGCGAGGTCGACTGTTGCGACAGAGGGAGGAGCTGCGAGTGGCGGGCGAGCAGCTGCAAAGTGACATGGCAGAGGTCAAAGGTCAAACACTCTGACTCTACCTTCTGTTGGAGACTTTCCTCTTCTTCCGGGACTTTGTTTGTCAGACCGTTGTCAGGCGGTGATTCACCTGAATCATGTCCAAAGTGCCCTTGAGCCAGACACTGGCGGGGCCTCAGGAGCCCCGGTGTAGGCGGCTCCTGACCTCTCACCTCACACCTGAAATATGTATTTTTGTGTGAGGGTTGCTGCTGATGTTACCAGTGTGAAATGGTTTTGCATTAGCGGTAACTTGCATACAGCTGAAAGTACACCGTACAATAAGGCTGATATCTTTATCATTATCAATTGATGAAGCAATTTACTCCAATTAATCATTTGATATACAACATATCGTCATAAATGACAAATTAGCAGAGTGAAGCGATGTTACATTTGCATATTTTTCCTGGACACTACTCGGTAAAAACATAATTTGTTTTGAAGTGAAGGAAAGCAAACTAATTGTTATGTTTAAGAATCAAAGGATGTGATAATTGTCAATCGTCAAAATTGTCGTGTCATGGATTTATCAGTCATATCAGCATCTTTGTAAAGTGTTGAGATGTGAAGTCAATATTCGTCTCGATTTATTCCCTGAATGTTCAGTTTGTGTTAATTCACCTTTCTCTTGGTTTCCCTTCTTATTTCGGTTAGTTCCTGAACTTGAAGTCCTGTGAGAGTATTCAAGATTATCCTGTTATTGGAAATTCAACACAATTAAATTATTGTGAATGTTTTTTAGTTTTTTTTATTGCAATCACTATCGTCCCATCCCTAACCTACATGTGGCATTGCATATTTAATTGAAGGATAAAGCTTCACCTCTTTTCTGGTGTCAATATGAATATGTTCGTACTAGATATTAAAAGATTTCTTCCTGATGTTCTTTCAACACAAATGATGGAGGACAAAATCCATAGTCCTTGTTTTGTTCCAAAGTTATTTGAAGCTAACATGAGGCTTCCTCAGCCTGAAGTGATCAAATGAAGATATCATTCAATGTTACCGTCTTTTTAGTACAAAATTCAGTGTTTTTCTTACTATTCCTTCACTGTAGCTCGGCGAGGCAACTCCCTAAAAGACGGCATTTGGTACTAAAAGGACTGACTTTGGGAGATATCCACATGGTCTCTCTAACTGCTGAAGCATGTCGTTAACTTCAAATAACTTTATATTTTAGAGAATTTCATCCTGCATCCCTTCTTTTGTAATGTATCTTAAGATAATCATTGAGTGGCAAAATTTATAAATTGCTGACAAACACTGTAGGTACTGGAAAAATCTGAATAAATACTAATTACATATTCTTTCTTGCCTTATTGTCCTGGCTTTGTTAGGCTGAACAGAAGGAATTATTGCAGTGACCAAAACGTATTTCAGTGTTCATATGGGCTCCTGACTGTCGTTTTAATAGACTTAAAAAAACTGTGAACCTATCCTTTAAAACAAATACCTCATAATGAACAAAGATATTTTGTTCAATTATTTAAAAAAACTACCAGTTATAACTAACGCTTGGTTTTTAAATGGATTAACAAGAACATCCAGTATTAACAACCAGCACACCATTTCAATGGTGAAGCATCGAGTCGTCTGCTCTGAGCGATACATCGCTAGTCAATATCAAGTTTTTTTGTCTTTATTCCACCTCCTAAAACTGGCTTCATGTTGAGTCAACACCTCTGTATTAACAAGGCGTCGGTGTATGTGTCACAACAGAAACCAAATAAAAAGCAGTGTGGATGACGTCATGTTTTGTCTCATCTCTCTCCTGTAGTGTTTAACAGCTTCTCACCTGCATGAAGGAAAGTCATCACAGCGGTTTAATGAAACACATCACTGTTTTTATTGGATGAAAACATTTATATGACACACTTCTGTTGCATTGCCTATTTCACATGGCACCAGAACTCCTCTGTGGCCTTGTTCATGCGTTACAGGCTGGGACCTCGCCCCCTTTATGATCAGGTGACACAAGACATCACCTTGATGACTCGTGTCCATAACACTAAAGGCTCCAGAGTCCTCTGATGATTTATCTAATTTCCAGCTTGGATGACATTCAGTCACATTTTTGTTAAAACGCTGTTCTGAATTCATTTGGGCGTGAACTTGTCTAAATCCTCATCTCCAGCCAGACATGAACAAGGCCGCCGACGGTAATGACGGATAAACTTCAGTGCTCTCTGTTGGCTTTTAAACATGGAGACAAACTTCCCGTCTGTCTTATTCACACAATTTTCATCCTTTCATCCTGATTTTCATTTTAGGGTCTGCTAAAGTGATTCTCCACCCGAAACCTGTCTTTATTAGTATCAAACTGGGAAAGTTTACAAATCCTCATTTCAAGCCATCGGCCATGGGCTCGAACTAAAGATTTTGACTTTGTGAAATTATGTTCAGAAGTCATTTTAAACCCTGTGGTTGTATATTACCGTTTGTAAACTAGTAGTGAACAGAACAGAAGAATGAATCTATTTCCGTTGACTCCCATGGCTTCAGCCGTCGTCTGGTCGAACAAAAGCAGTCTCCTTTCAGTCTATTCCTCTCATAGATACAATCATTTGATTCACTACGATATGGAAAGAGCCAGATAGTCATCTGAAGTCACGGCAGTTCCGTAATTCACAGCAATGTTACTATTCACGTAATTCTTCATACATAAGCACAAACTATCGTGACTCAGGACAGCTAATGTAATAAGCTGCCATCTACGTGAGTTCTTGACAGAAAGGAAGCTTTGTGCACGCGCAGTAATAACATTTCCACATGCACATTTCCACAAAACATTTTACGAATTTGAATTAATTTGATATATTTCTCAACCTTTTTGTTTAGCTACAAACAAGGCTGAGCATGTCGAAAATAAATTGTGCAAAAGTGATGGCCCAAATTGATTTTCAAACTAGAATTTCAATGCAGAGTTTTTACAAAGGGTGATATACAAATTATTACAGATAAAAAAAATTATTTCTGAACATCATTTATCAAGCTCAAAACCGTATTCCAACCCACGTATATCGAGTGAGGGTTTGATACTGACAAGATACAGTTGATTTCGTTGGAGTAGCACTCATCTTAAAATCACCAGTGGGGATTGAAAGGTTTGCATCCAAAATGGACTTGGGCTTTAATTATACTCAAAACATGCTTTGAAAATACAGTAGGATGGTAAATATAAACCTTGTTATGAATAAAGAGCCCCTTCGTGTAGATTCGTTCTGTACAGCACTCTGCTGTCTTTACTCTCCCAGCACACAGAGGAGTGATGGTACAACTACAGAGAATATTCATCGACTTTATACTTGACTTCTTCTCAACCTATTACTATTTTTACAGCAACACAGTTAAGCAGATATTAACACGTTCAGACTTCTGTAAGGACACAAGGCCATCGACTCGAAGCCCAACCATCACTGAATCATATCTTTTTGTTTCTTGACAGGAAATACTCAACAGCAAACAGTGCCTGAATCTAGTAGCAAACAAATATGTCATCACATTAGATGAACAGAGGTATGTAGTCCCTTTGTCCATCTAAACTGACAGTTTATAGCATTATAGGTCTTTGTGGCACTTGAATACAGATGGCTAGTAATGCTCTTGTCGGACTTTAGAAAGTGTTTTACCTCTGAATAACATCATTGTCGTCCATTGTCCACAGCGTTAAGAAGTGTGTGTACAGTCAGTAGTTATATTAGCATGCTGTCAGGGAGCAACACAGTTTCTTTTGCCCACCAGGAAGCTTTGAAGATTTTGTATATCTGCATATTATTTACAATACTGATTGAGACACAGCACAGGAGAGTGTGAAGTTAATCAGATGATAGCTGGGAAAATGACAGGATTTGCTATAATATGTTCTGCAGCAGTGATGGAACTAGAGTCTAGTAGGTGGTAAAATGTTGTTATAAACCATATCCTCAAATTAATAATTTCAGAGCTAAATTTACTTATTTCATTCACACAAGTATAGCCGGGCGATATGGCGATATCTACTGTGCAAGGTTATATATATTGTTAATTTGCTAAATCGTTTATACCGAAAAAGCTATTCCACAATTGGCTTGTCAATTATTTTCTACAGAAAATCTATTACACAATATATTATTAGTGATATATATGAGTCGCCCTTAAAATATTGTTTTTGTGAGCTCGAAATACCATGTTATGCCTCAGAATGACTGCATTTTTATTGTTTACCAATTTTTTTGTTTTAAAGTTCAAGATTTAAAAGTTTTCATCTCGTCAACCTGTAATACGCATTCATCAGTCCAAGATCACAATATAGCCTCATGCACAAGACAAATGGAATAAAAGTGATTGCACTATTAATTTGAAGAAATGTTTTATCAACAATGTAGCCCCAACCCAACTGGGCTCTTCATGGAACAGGGGAGGTCATATTCAGTTGATTGGTGAGGAAAAGGCCCAAACCGTTGATGTACATACATGTGTGTGTATGTAAAAAATACTTTACATGTCAATTGAGTCCCTTATGAATCTCTCAACAGTCTGACTTAGTTTGTACATTTTCAGGTAAAAGCCCAGCTGAGTAATCCTTCAGAAGTTTGCATAATATTCTTTTATCAATTGTGTCCAATGGTGATTAATGTGCTAAAATCTAAATGTCTTTTGCTTCATGTTTCACTACATTTCTACCAGGCAATGATTATTCTACAAATACAAAAAAGTACAAAAAGATGCACTTCGGTTTCATGTGAGATTGTGTCTCTGAAGTGCATCTCTAAAAGTTATTGATGGTCTGCTCATGTCAAACATGTCTCAATACATACATCCAACCCTGTATGAATGGTAGATGGAGGCTGTGGACAATTGTTCAGAGAGCAAAACTTGAATGCAGTGAATGGGGAAAGTAAGGGGTCAATGCCCGAGGTAAAGGGACCAGCACACTCCTAATCTGTCCACCTGAGTGCTGAGTTTCATCCAGGAACACAGTAGAGTCATTCGTGTTGATACTTAACGTCCTACGACTCACATTTTCCACCTGACTTTACATTGATTGGAGCTTCTTGGCTCTGTGTGTCTTGCGAGCTACAGGAAATGGGGCTTGGGGTGTAATTAAATGGAGTGATTCGGGCAGCCTTGCTAGGGGATCCTTGGCGGAAATGGACAGCTCCACCCACGTGGATGTCTGACGTACCTGTGGAGACGGTGCTGTGACTCTTAAGTGAGATGTCTGAATCTCCATCTTGTAGGTTACTCCCAGAGGTAGCACTCATCTTTCTGAGTAGCGCAACTCGTTCAACTTCCTCTGAGATCACCCAAGTTGTTTCAACCGTTGGAGAGGTGCTCGAGTTGGTCTTGTTATTCGAAAAATCTTCTGTCTGGACTGTCGCATCACTTGTCTTGCGTGATGCAAGTAGAATGGTTGGTAGTTTTCCTGGAAGAGCTGGTGACTTTGGCTGTTGCCCGTCAGGAGAAGGCACCAGAGGTAATGCATTGGCTGGCAGAGTGCTTTTCAAGATCTGAGGTACATCTTCATCCCTGATCCTCCTCCATGTAACTCTGTCATTTAGCCGCGATGCAGACCGGTGCCCTTTCTTCTTTGTATCATCTTCGCTCTTTGCTCTTCCACTTGAATCGGATGAAGACGAGCGAAGGGAGGAACGGCTGGTCACTCGGCTCAGTATGTTAATGCTTGGTGATGAGGCGTGACGTTTAAAGTTGTCTTTGTCTTGTTGCTGCCTGGGTCCAGACACCCTGGTATGCCCGTTTCGCTCAGCCACCCTGCAGGGGCTTTCAGAGCTAGTTCTCCTGTGTGTACGTCTTGCAGATAGGTCCCTTTCACTGGAGGTCGCTCTAGAGAGGGTTGTCGTCTGCTTTTGAACGCCGCGGTCTGGCCTCTGGACTTGCTGTGTTTGCCTTGGACTTTTTACTTGCACCCTTCTCTGGGTTTGTGCAGTTATCTTAAGTTCCTGACAGCGTGATGAGCAAAGGAAGACAGCTGAAGCTCCAGGAACTGCTCTGTGGGGTGATCCATTCTGAGATCCAGGCATGTTGCGTGCAGAGCCACCCCTTCTCAGCACAGTTTGTGATTCCTTAATGAAAGTCAGCTGTCTCAAGAATCCATTGCGCTCAGACTCACCACTACTTGAATGGACAGAAGTCATCCTGACCAGTCCAAATCGATTGGCAGGGGGGACCCTTTTCCCGTTGACCTGATTGGTTTGTCTGGTGGTTGTTTGGTTAGTTACCAGAGGTGACAGAGCTCTGGGCCTTACTGAATTTTGCATAAAAGGGATTCGGACAGGTGACTTTTGAGTTTTAGGGGGTGGGGACTTTTCATTTTTATTCACAACGGGAGAGCGTCCTTTTCTTTCTGGGGGACTACTAGCTGGCGGGCTACTAGGTGGTGAGGCATTCTTTTTCTGGATGGATTTATTTGTCTGTGTCGGGGATGTTATCTTCTTCTGCGACTGTTTGGATGGTGTAGAGCTTTGCGATGATCCAGAGGATGAACTTTTTGGTAGCCTTGGAGGTGGAGTAGAGCTCCTCTTTGGCAAAGACAGTTCAATGTCCTGCGGGTGGCCTAATCGGTGAAGGCTCTTTGATCTGTGCTGAGCCAGGTTTGGATTCTTTGGAGCATCTGTCTTGGTTGGTACTTTTCTGGGAGCAGGTATTTGTGATGGAGCTGTCTCTTTTTTCGGCGTATAGATCACTGTCCTGCCTCTAAAAACCATTGGTAAATTTGGAACTGGCTTGCGCTGTGCAAAGTCTAGAGGTTTATTTGCCTTTTTGTCTTTTGCAAACTTCCTTTCTTTAGGTGTAAAGCTGGATGTTGACATGAATGACATGACTGATTCAGTCTCTTCAGAGGATGGGTCCTGAGACTTTGATGCCTGCAGTCCAGTGACAACACAATTAGCACCTTCTTGTATGGCTCTCCATTCAACACTATTGAGGTCTGAATCTTTATCCCATGCTGTGTCATCACTATCCATTTCCTCATTCCACCCATCAGAGGCCTTTTGTTTTTGAGTATTTTCTGCTTTCTTCTTCCTTGCAGCAAGCTTCCTTCTCTGCTTGGGCATAGCAGATGTTATGCATTTCTGAAGGAGGTCATCCTCCGAATCCATGCTGACAGAGCTTGGTGAGCTTGGCTCTTCATATTGGCTGTGAATGTTCATAAACTTTGTTTGTTTCATCATATTCAGTGTTTTGTTGTGTCTGTTTTTGTACCAAATTTGCTGGGCTCTTGATTGATGATCCTCAAACTCTGCATCACTCAGTGAACTAAGTGAGGAGCTGAGTGAGTAACATGCCAGGGATTCATCCTTCATTAGATTCTGTTTTATCCTGTGAAGTCCCCTGGGCATTGCTTGTGAATTATCAATTCTGCCAATATTTATCATGCTCCGGGAAAGAGTATTTCTATTTGCTTCCCTGATCTGTTTTCTACTTGTTCGTTTCATTACTTCATTTTTGTCAGCAGAGAAGCTGTTACTGTCCTCTGAAGAATGTGTTGTTTGTCGGTAGACCGTTTTACCTTTTTGTGATCCCACATTAAGATTACTTTCTGTGTTTTGCTTAATAACGGGCAGATCCAGTTTCCTGACTGGCCCTTGACCTTGCCTCTTCTTTTGTTGGTTAGGAGAATGATCATGATTTCTTTGCTTTGCCACTCTATCGGCTACCTCTTTGCTCTGCATAAGCACCCTCTGAGTGGGAATGATATGTTTGGTTGTTCGGTTCATTTGTATCTCAGGTGGGTAGTTTATTCTGTTGGGTTTATGGAAGTGTGAGAATATCCTCAAGTCTTCTATCCTCTTTGCCTCATCGTTGAGCAATTCCTGTTTGTTCATACCTTTTGCTGTGCAGTCTTTAGCCCCCCTCTCCTTCACTGGATACTGAAGTGTTTCGTCACTTAGCGATGTTGTGCTGGAGAAGTTGACTGGTGTACCTTCTGCAGAATCAGTGAGGGATGAATCATCAAATTTAAAGTCCTTTTGTGGAATGACAATTCTCCTCCCAGGACACATCTGGGATTTGCCATTTGGAAGCATCATGTACATTGGAAGATGCATCTGTTTTCGGATCTGGGAATTGAGAATATGGGGAGGGATGGTTGTCATCAGGGAAGGTCTTATTTTTCGGAACTTGGAGGGCATTGCTGAGTTGATGCATTCCTTTAAGATTTCTATGTCATCGTCAGAATTGCCCTCACTATATCTCTCACATTGGTCAAATCCTTGCTCATCCTCATCAGGGAAAGGAAGATTTCTGTCATTTTGCTGGAGTAGGGGGGTCAATTTCAGCTCCACGTCTTTTTGTATGTAGTGTTCGTGAAGAGGCAGCGCACTTAAGCTTGACGCACAAGAGAAGTTCTCACTGGGCTTTTCCACAGTGAAGTAGATCATAGTGTCCAGGTCAGGAGGAAGGTTAAACCTCTCTTTGGAGTCTGCAATCTCCATGAACGTTCGCAGACTACTTTCCCATTGGCCCGCTATTCCTGTGGCCTGTGTTTCTGGTCCATTTGGTTCAATGCAGCATGGAGTTTTACTTCGACTAGGAGGCATGGTTTGACCTGGGCTGTCGGGAAGATCACTAGGGCTTATTGTTCCATCAATCATCTCACTGCATGGATCACTTTGGATTGAGCTAACAATTGAGGAAGCCTCAAAGCTGCCCAGTGAACTGACTGAGCTACAGCGACTCATTACTAGGGGTGTCTCGTGGATGTAGTTCTCAGATGAGCTGGATGGAGATCTGTCTTCAAGTATGGCTGGTGAAGCTCCTCTAAGGAACACCTTTTCCCTTTTGGCAGGACAGGGAATCTCAATGGGATCGGTCTCTTTGCTGGGGAAGGTTTTTGAGTCAGTCATCAGCAGCTGGCTGTCACTTAGATCCTCCAAGGTTTCATCCTCTTCAGCTCTCTTCACCACTTCTCCGTCCTCCACTTCAATTATTTCTAATGACGAGTCACTCTCTAGCTCATTCTCACTTTGTCCATCCACCTCGCCATCGCCAGAAGAGAGGGAGGACAGTGAACTGCAGCGGGAGAAGCAAATCGGGGTGTTCTCCACTGAGTATTTCTGGACTGTCTCCATTGACCCGATAGTTGGGCTTCTGGTGGATGTCATTGGAGAAAATTTTGTAATACTACCTCCAGTCATCACTGTAGGTACCCATGCTTGCCTCCTCATTGCCTGGGCAGCTTGGACATTGATGGCTGTCTTTGCTACACCAAATTTGGCAACACTCTGAATGAGTGGGACCTGTTGATAAGAAGGAGACAGTTTAATTGAAGTCATGCTGACATCAGAGGAGAATTTAGTTGATGCACTGACAGGTGTTTGTACAGGTTGATCCTGGTTCTTTTCTGCATCTGTGCTGCTGAGCTCTTGATCTCTCACATCTTTTTTGTCCACATAATCTCTCTCAGGAATATCTTGCTGGTTCATCTCCGTCAGAACAGCAGGTCTTACATTAAGGTAATCTTGATGAGCAACCTTGAGATCAAGCTGATTGGGTCGTTGTTGCATCATAATAGCTCTTGGAGCAGGTCGCATCTGGTCTTTGCTGCCGCAGTAGCCATCACTGGTGCTTCCACTGTTTAGGCTGTCTGTTGATACACTTGTATGGGCAGTTTTGAGGCGCAAGAGAGCATGGGCTCTACTGAGGCGTTCCCTGTGGGCCAAGCTGCTTGTGTCAGATAGACGGCAGGGGGAGCATGATTTTGCCCGGGCTTCATTGAGTTCATCCAGTCCGCAAGTCCAGTCTGCCAGGTGATCCTCAGAGCTGAGGCTAAAACTGTCCTCAGAGGATGTGTGCATAGTGATGTCCTCCACTAACCTGTCAATCTTGGCTACCGTGTTGGTGATCTTTTTTGCTAGCTTCTCTGCAGCGGCAGATATATCGTCAGCGGGAGCAAATCTCTTCTCGACCATCTGAGGCATGTCTACATCTCTTTCAGGTTCAGTGTCCCTCTTACGTGCTTGGTTTTGAAGGAAGTTAGAGTTGGTAAGAAACATGGACAGCATAGAAAAGCTCCCAGTGTCCAGGCTACTGGACACATTTGGGGCCTCGTCATCATCAAAACAACCAGAATCAGATGCATAATCCTTTGCCAGACTCTCAATGTGTCGTAGCGGCTTGTTAAGGGTCAGGTGCTTGGGGCTCTGTTTTTCAACAGTATCAAAAGTCTCTGCCAGGTGTTTGGCGTCCAGCTCCGCCTCCAGAGCTTTCTGTTTCCTCATATAGAGTGAGGGCATGCAGGAGCCAGGGGATATCACTGCAGTGTCCTTATATTTTAGGGGTCGATTGGTGAGGAGATTCCTTAAAGCTGCGGCACTGCCCATTGCTATCATTTTGTGCTTGGAGTGGATAAGGTTGCGCAGCATGCTAACTGCCCCAAGGTCCCACAGCAGCTCCTGGTCTTTTGGACTTCGGGCAGAAAGGTTCCAGAGAGTCCCGCAGGCGTTGCTCACTATGGTCAGGCTGTGGGAGCGCAGGTGCTGCAGCAGAGTGTGGAGGCAGTTGTGGTCCCTGAGGATTTGCCTGTAAAGCAAGTTTAATATATTTCTTAGTTGTGTTATTTGAAAAGCTCCAGAAAAAGCTAGCAAGAGGCCCTTGAGTTTTACAGTTTTTTATCAAACAATGTCAATGTAATTTCAGTTTGAGTAGCAGAAACCTACCTGTAGTCTTCCCGTGTGGCGACCAGACTCGACACATTTCGAAGAATTCCTCCACCGCTCTCGATAATGGCGAGCGAGTTGGTTTGACAGCGGTATGTCAGCGTGCTGACCAGGAAGCCCAGAGCGCCATCCACTGAACAGATTGACACTTTGTTGTCGACGCTGTGAGCCGACAGATTCCATAGAGCACTCAGGAGGCTCTTCAAGGTCGACTCCTGGAAAACCAGCAATACAAAAAAAGAGAAGAATCCTTACTAAGAGTGTAAAAGCGATGGAAACATTGTATGGGAAGTTGTGTGCCGGACTATTTCTTGGCTGGGACGAACAACTTCCCAGAGTCTTCCACTGGTTGCCTAGCAACAGCTCAGAGCCGAGAAATAGTCTTGCACATAACCAACTTGTTTTTACACTTTTTGTATGGATTAAACCGTTGCAATATAACATATTACTTGGTGAGCTTCAGAGGTGTTGGTATGTTGATTATTTTACCTTTGGACAAAGACAGGCTAGCTGTCTCCACCTGCTTCTTTAGAGTAAGATAAGCTAACGGGCTGCTAACTGTAGCTTCATATTTAAAGTATAAGGAGGAACATAAATAAGTAAAAAATACTAATTGATGTATCCAAAGCAGACTATTTGATCTGTATATAATGATCATGTATAACTATTTCTTCCAAATAAATCTTAAACCAGCCACAGTAGTTGTATGTACTTTATCTTGCAAAACATCTACAATATACTGTAGATCCTCACATAATTCCCTGTGTGTGGGCTGGTTTGTTTTGCGTTACCTTGGTGGCCTGTAGGGCACAGGTCATCAGTGCAGAAACGCAGCCAATGTCTCTGAGGACTGTCTTGCTGCTGATGTCGGCCCTCCAGGACAGGTTCCTCAGGATGCTGGAGACCACCTGATGAAGTTCCTCACTGTCAGAGGACAGCTGGGCCACCAGAGCCTGCAGACAGCTCTTCTTTGAGCACAGAGTGGCCTGAAGGGGAAATAGGTGTAGGTCAAACAGACAGACATTGCATAGTTTGTTGAAAAAAGTCATAAAAATTATACTACACTATATTTAAAAATTCATAGTATAATATGTGGAAAAAAAACATAAAATCATAGTATAGTATGTTGAAAACAAGTTATATAATGCCCGTAGGAACAATGTCCATTCTTGGTTAAAGGCTCTGGTCTCTCTGGTCTCGCTGACCACATTTCTCTTTTTGGAGAACGCCATGTGGAATAACTTCTCTGACTCTCAAAGTTCTCCGACTACTCGGTCTCTCACCCCGTCTCCCCCATGTGAATCTTACTTGAGTCGGGAAGTTTATCAAAATACACATATTTGACTGGCTGAGTATCATCACGTCATGTGATTTACAATGCATATAATTTACTGCGCAGGTTAAATTAAAAGGGAGAGAAGGGGCGAGAGACCGAGTAGTCAGAGAAGTTATTTCACATGGTCTCCAAGAAGAGGACTGTGGACAGAGAGACCAGAGTCTTTAACCAAGAATGGACAGACTCTTATAGGTTAATTCTTCCCACGGGCAGTTTAAAACAAGTATGTCGCATGTGTTCAGAGACTGTGGCGATTAATAAAAGCAGCAATGTGAAGTGCCACTATAAGACAAAGAACAACTTGAGCAAACGCACCCACTCAATATGATCAGAATCCTAAAACACATGAATTCACTGTCCAACAATGATGTTGACTGAGAGGAATAGAGCTGAAACAAGTGGTTTCAATAACCACAGATAAAGTCCCTGCACACAGAATTCTCTTTTTAGAAGATGAGAATATATTATCGTGGCTTTTTTGGGTCACTTCACACCTGAATGAACTGAATTTAAAGCTTCAGTTAAATTCATTTGTCTAAAATTAAGTACTTTATTTTAAGATGCACATTTTTCAAAAGCTTTCTGTTATGTAATTTATTCTTAAATGCAACCCTTATTTTGCTTGAAATAAAAACATTTATTTATTAGATTATGTATTATTTATAATTCATCCAATTCAATTTGAAAACTGACAATAAATATTGTTGAGATATTATTCAATTAAACTTTATTTGATTTGACACTCAGTTGTTGACTACATACAAACGTTAATACTACTGTTGGCTACTTCAATATATATGGCACTAAATCATAGTGCAAGTTAAACATTGTGATGTTCCGGACCTTTGCAGGAGGAAATTCTCTCTAAATGGACCTCGGTGAATTTTAATGGAATACCCCAGGTATAGTATGTTAAAAAAAATCATTAATTTATAGCATAGTATTTTTTTTAAAAGTAAAAATGTAAAAAATAAATAAAAAAATGTGGTATATGGAGAAAAAGTCATGAAACCCATAATATAGTATGTTGAAAAAAGTCATTGTCAAAAAAAAAAATCACACTATAGTCATAAAAATACCATAAAAACTTGTGTATAATTTCATAAGAAATTGCATGGTATAGTAAAATGAAAAAAGAAACATCATAGTACAGTACGTCAAACAATTTCAGCTAACAATATGCTAATGCTAACACCAAGGCTAACCGTGACAAAAAGCAATCGATTAGGTTGGGAATAATAAGCAATAAGGTTGGTGGAAGAAGTATTTAGATCTACTAAAGTAAAAGCAGCATTATCACACTTTACAACACAAGTAAAACTTCTGCATTGGAGTTGTAACTTAAGTAAAAGTTTAATTGTATGAGCAACTCAAAATGAATAAAAGTAAAGTACTCATGTGTTTTCCTTGTGAAATGTTTACTTTAATAAAAGTGCCGCTGTCAGAGAAATGTAGTGCAGCAAGTACAAATATTCCCCTGTGATATATGGTGGAGTAGAAGTAGAAATTAGCTTAAAATGTTAAGTACAAGTACATCACTATAGTGAACAGTCTTGAATAAATGCATTAAGTCACATTCCACCACTGGTTTTAGGTTACTTTTCTTATATTTCCATGCTGCTGTTATACCTTAATTTTAGTGCTGGGCAAGTTAACGTGTTAATTTCGCGTTAACGCATTCATTAATTAACGCCGACAATTATTTTATCGCGCGTTAACGCATTTTTTAATTTATTATTTTTAAATTTTTTAAATTTTTTAATTTTATTTTTTTAATTGAAAGACAAGAGATAATACATATACATAACAACAAGAGGATGACAAGAACAGTGGGATAAAAGCCAGCAAACATCCTATAGTCAGTTGTGCATGTGTGTGTGTGTGTGTGTGTGTGTGTGTATGTCCTTGAGCCTTTTG